GAAGTGGAGAACTGTTCAGCTCAGAAGACCAGAGGATAACAGATGCAGGAATACGTGAAATGAACAGCAACAGGCTTAGAAAACATATATATTCTCATTTAAGGCAAAATCCCATTACCGAGGAAGCTTTCATTAGCAGTCATATTAATAGTGGAAAATAGAGTTCTATGTGCATGAAAAGCTTTTTGAAGGCTATGTCTCCACAAAATATGGCCAAAAGCATCACTGATCAGCTGGGCTGGCACAGATGCTCAGCAATGAGAGCTGTGGCGTTGTTGATTTTGTGGTTTTGTTTTTCTTTTTTGATTTGTGTCACAATTTTAACCATTGAAAAGACATTTCCATAAAATTTTCAGCCCTTTGAAAAGCCCTACTTTGAGGTAAGTAAAGCAAAAACTATAGAGACATAGATCTGTCTTCAATCAGTATGTTAGGATAAATAATGATCAGTTAATAGAACTATCGTAATCCTACAAAGCTTAAAGTATTCATGATTAAACTACTGGCAGGGGACCACTAGGATATACAGAAACATTGGGGTTTTTGTTTTTCTTTTGTAATTTTTTGTCTGCCATTGTATATTATTTAAAATCTTCTTGCTACAACTTTATTTTCAAGCTTATTAGAGGCAGATGTTTCTCAGCCCAAATTTGGTCCTGTTCCTTATGAAGAAACAACAAAACCCATGTCTTCTAAAGGCAATTCTGGGATGAGACTTTTGATTCAAGACCTACAGAGCAGAAGTTCAGGTACATATGCACAGCAGCCTGTATGAGAAATTGCCATACCACCTTGCCTGAGGGCACATTATTTCCCATAGCATTTATAACTCCTGAAAAAAGGGGTTAGATTGAAGGTAGATGGTTGATACTCAGTATCAGTTCTTCCAGAGTCTGGGGTTTTTTTCATTCTGTAAATTAAGTGCATCAAGAATGGTTTGTGTTATTACACTATTGCTTGAAAACTTGTGAAATAGGTTTCCCTTTCCCTGTCACTCTCATAATGCTACTTTGGAAAATGCTGTAACTGGATTCTTTCTGCCTTTAGAACATCCTCACAGTAATTACAAGAAAGAGAAACATCTTTTAAAAATTACATGCATTTTTAGAAACTATTTTCACTTCCATTTGCAAACCCAGAATGTCACAGAGACATCAGCTCAATATAAGCCATTTACTTGTCTAACTCTTTTTCTCCCTACTGTATAATTTCATTTTAAGTATAATATAACCCTGTACTTCCTTTATTTTTAATTAGTTTAACAATAACTACGATATCCCAGTAATAGTTATATACTAAAATTACTGATTTATACAATTCTATCTTTACTTTTAACTTAGCTTATTTCCCCACTCCACAGAAATAAAGTAATATTACTTGCTATTACATAAGAAATTCCCTTTTTAAAGCACTGAAGCATTTAGAATTCACCCAGTGCACAGACGTGAGTGATGCCAAGTTATTTATGGCCCATTCCTTAAAAGAATTTCTGAAATCAAGGATGAACAGGCATTTACTAAGCAAACAGGTAGTCACATGAAAAATGTAAGCAATCCAGATTGGTAGAAAAGGTATAAGAGACAGGGTGAGTCTGAAAAATTAGAAACACAGCACTGAAGGCAATGGATCAGATGTACTTTGTTGGCCCAAACCTGCCTCAAAGTGATGTTATTATTAGTAATAAGTTTGTAGAAACTTGTCAGTGATGGAGACTGACTTGGCTAAGAGTTTGACATCCCCGTTAATCCTCTCAAGCCAAGTATGAGTATAGTCTGGCCTAAACATTAATAACTCCTTTTCTGTGCACTGCTGCACAGGAACCTTTATGACATTGCTCCTGATGTCTTCGAGCCATTACCTCCCATCAAAAAAACAAAACAAAACAAAACAAAAACAAAACACACAAAGAAAACCCCCCAAAAAACCCAAACCCAAACCAGACAGCAGCCCCTTTACTAGATATATTTTGTCCAAAATATGTTGTTCTGCTCAACACAGGGGGTATTGGAATAAAATTCTAAAATACGTGATGCAGGAGACTGTGTCATTTGTGTATCCCATCATTGTTCTGAAGGAGGAAGGTCAAGATGCCATCTAATTGATAGTGACTCTGTCTGTGAAACAAACAGGAACAATTCCAGTATCTTTGCTCCTGTGCATGTTTGTATGCTTACATGTACACACATATACAGTGAAGAACACAAACAATCACAAGGACATAGGAGTGCCATCTAAATTTCTCTTACTGTAACAAAGGTGCAGAGACACTGTTCCATGAAAACTCTTCAACTTACCTCGGGAAAAACAAAAACCCTTAAGTGAGAAAGACTGGGGACATGGTTTACAAGGCTAGGCATATGTAAAACTACTGTTAGGCCAAAATACCTTTTAAATCATAGTCCTGGTCATGTGTTTTACCACTACTGTTAGTGTGCATTTCCTTTACTTAGAGCTGGAGAGCTCTGTCTCTCCTGGGTAGGAATGTGAAGCAGGCAGGAAAGGAAGATCCAAGTATCAGGGCCATTGCTGTCAAATAGCCTCCTCACACACTGCAGATGTTGTTCAAGCATCAGCCAGGGAGTGTGTGGAATAAATAGCAGCCTGTGGAATTTTAGGTGGTGATAAATGCTGCAGAAAAGTTACAGCCTGTTTCTACACCACAGGAGAATTTCACCAGTTGGGAACAGGATGTATACAGCAATCTATGTATGGGCTGATCTTAGGGGTAATATTGGTACATCAACATTAATTTTACACTATACTTCTTTAGGGAATTAACACTAGAATTTCTTGCAAGTTCTAGGCACAATTTGGCCATAAGCATATGAGTTATCCTAAGACATGAACAAATCCTGTAGAGATCAGAGATTTCCTTTCCTTTAGAAATCAATTTTTATTAACAACAAAGTCCAATATATTCTAAGAAGGAAAATTAAAAAGGGTAAAGCTTCTAAGCAAGCTGTATTCCCTCCTATGCAAGGAATTGTTGATAACGATGGGTCTTGCATCTCATTCATAAAAATGATGACTTTATCTCATGAGACTAAATAATAAACTGGGAATACTAGTTAAATAAAAATATTCAACATCTCTTAGAAGGAAACCACCAAAATTTGAGTTGTGGGCATATATTATTCCAGATATTGTATGATGAATATGTGATTTATTGGTTTGACAAGTACTGCTATTTTCCCTCAGGATAAAAGTGAGTTTGTGGCAAATGGCCTAATAGAATGGTACAAGTAACTGATGGAGTTCTGCAGTCTGTTGGGTGAGGTGACAGATCTGAAAAGCCTCTGACTTATTGGTTTTCCTGTCATCATAGTGTAAGGTATGACTATAGTCAAAGTAAGTTTGAAAAAGTACAACATAAACTAGAAAATGCTAGGGACAAAAAACAATGATTCCAAACTCAATTCTCATATCATGACCATTTTAAAAATAATTTCTGGAATAACTCGTAAATGAACATAACTATTAGTGTAAACGTTTTTCTAAAATTAGCAGTTATATTCTGAGTTACTGTATACATAATTAAAAAAATATTTAAAATATATTAAAGTGATCTTCAGTTATATAGTTATACTTTTTAGGTAATTATACAGTAACTTATTAGATTTGTACATGATACAAGATATGTGAGAGCAGGAAACTTTTCAGATTCAAAAGGCTCTATTAATATTTGCCTCTTCTTATTTATACTTTTCTTTAAGCTAAGAGCTGTTTCTGCTGCCCTAGACACAACATAGCCTACCCAATGTTATGCAGTAGAAGTTTAAATTGAGAGAGAAATAATTTGCTTCTTGCAGTCATAGGAAACTGTTAATAATTTTGAAAACACAAGAATTTTCTTTAATGACCTGATCCTTCAGTGTTGTATGAATATATCAACTGGTCAGTATAGTTCCTCTGAGCTACTAGCTAAGATTGTCAAACTGATGCACATTTTGTAAAAGAAGAAGAATGTTGAAACATTTTGTAAAAAACATTTATATACTTGGAAAAACAATAATTAAAGGTTGTATGAGAGATCATTCCTTGTCTTTTAACTTTCCTGACATGCCTTCCCAATAGTATTTTTAAGCAATGAATGCCATGTTTGCAGAGATAGGTTATAAAGCTCTTTGGCTTGTTTTGGCCACTCAATATAGTTTTAGCACAAGATAAAAACATTTAAAATGTACAATCTAAGTCATTGAAACAGCCAACTGTAAAAGTGTCTATATAAATATATATAAACTTATTCAATATAATTATGCAAATGATCAAAATGTTAGGAATCAGACAACAAACTGTTAATGATAATCAAAGAAAAATGTGCTATAGAAGTGTGCACGATCATTGCCACCACTGCAGTTGGCAGTGTACTAGTTTAAACTACTAAATATTTGTGTCTCCTTGTTTGTCCCAAAAGACCCACAGAATCTTTAATGAAAAGTTCTTTACTTCTGAGCCAGGTAATACAAATCTTCACCAGCTATATATATGCTTCAAAAGCATATTCTTCCATACTTTGATAAAGTATTCTGTTCTTGCAAGAAGGTAAAACAGATCAACAGTTCTGCTTTTTTTCCCCAATAAAGTATGTTTATTATGCCAGTTCTAATTACCATGCAAGCTAATGGTTTTAAGGCTTATATTTTCCACATCACTGGACATCACAAACATGAAAGCACTTTATACTGTCATTATACATCAATGTTTGCACTTGGTTATACATATATACAGAAATTATTCACACATCTCAACCTTGCTATTTCCTCTTTTCAAACTAACATAATTTTACTGTGAAAGCAGCTTTTTAATAAATGGTCTAAGAAATACAGCAAGGCACACATTTTTTAAAAACTTTTTTCTCATTACTACCTCAAGAAGCATAAAAACCCAAAATGTTGTACTTAATTCAGTAGAATGTCAACAGTTACTAATATACAACACCATGTAGTTGTTTCTTGAAGTGTTGCATAGATTAAATTTTAAAATTAAATAAATAAAATGACATTTATTTTAATTGCTTAATTTTAGATGTACTGAATCAGGAGGGCTAATTGCTTTTTCCTGCAATCCAATAAAATTGTTGCTTTAAAAGTAAAATAGTTTCAATAAACTTATGCATTATACACATAATTATTAAATTTAATACATAAAACAAAAGAGTACTAACAGGCACTGTTCTGAAAAGATGAACCAGGCTGATCATGAATTCTGTGGAACTTCAAAACTTAAAGAACAGAACCAGTGATAAGTATTACAGGAGCATCCAGTTTAGGAAAGGGAGTTCATTAGAGGTAGCTTGGGAGAGGAATCCATAAGAAAGCAAATGGCCTTACTACAATACAAAATGATCACTGAAATAGGACTAGCATATGCAGCCTGACCACAGAGCCAACATGAACAAATCACATTTGGAAAGAAAATTTATCTTGGGAGTCAGTGTAATGAAAGGCAGTGATACAATGGAATTGGAGGTCATCCCAGGGTTTACAGGATGAACCTGCACCTGAATTGCAGCCAAGTGTCTAAAAAGAAACAAAAAAGTAATAGAAGGTTACATGAAATTTTATTTGCAAAACAGCAGTTCCAGAACAGTCATTAAATGATCACATGCCAGAGCCTTTAATGCAGAAGCATACAGTAGGCAAACAATGACTTTTAACAGCCTGAGGTACAAGTTAGTGTAAAAAATTGTATTGGTGTAAAAAGCTCATTGATTTTTGTAAAGAATTTGTTTCTAAAGAAACAAGGGAAGTCATCAAATCTGACCTTTTTCCTGGATTCTGTCCTCATCCTTACCTGCGAACTTACCTTCAGCACACTCAAAAGTGCACCGATCAATGAAAACAAAGGAATTTTCAAAAGGCAAGCAACAAATAGATATACCCATCACTTATTTTAATATTTTTGTAAACATATAGAATGAGATTTCAATGGAGAGGAAGAAAGAATTGTCACAGAAGTGGTCCATGAATAAAATTGGCAGTTTCATCACTTTATTTTTAAATTGTAAATAACTATTTAGACACTTCTAGTACTAGCAATGAGGTAAATTTTCATACTATAGAATTATCCAGCTCAGAGTTTAGGGTTAAACTATTCATCAAAGAGCATAGGCTTATGATGAGGATTATGAAGAAATGACAGAATACAGCTCAAAAATTAGTGCAAAGTGCATCTCATTGGCATTTCTTTCCTAGTATGCATTCCAGACATGCATTATGTGCCTTCCAAATTAAGCAGGAATATCTGGATCTACCCAGTTACCTCTCCTTTGATCTTATTTCCTGTAGCTGACACTCCCCGCCCCCCCATTTATAGAAGAAATATACTTATATGAAAACAGTGAAAAGTTCAACAGTTTCATTAGAAATTAATGAAGAACTGATATGAATAAAGGAGAAGATTGTATCAAAAGGTTTCTACAACTCTGGCATGAGTTCTACATATCTATAGTAAGAAAAGTCTCATTGGTGAATGATGTCAGGTTTTTCAAAAATTATGTAACTCAGACAATATGAAAGTATCTGTTTATTCTATTTCATTATTTTAAAGTGAGCTACTGAAAGGAGCTAAAAAGTCAAACTGTTTTAAACTCTATAAAGAAACATTATAGTATCTATCTCCCTATAAAAAACATCTAGGAAAAAAACGGTAAGCAAATGTTTCAATTATTCTTGTATTTCCAGTCTCTAAAAGTAAATTATTACATATTAGCTACTATAAACTTGTATATTATTTTTCTCCTGTAATGAATAATTAACTAATAGTCCTTTGTATTTATGGATAATCTTTTATCTGTGGATCTCAAAACACTTTTCAGTTAATAAATCATGATTCGCAGGTCCCATTGATCATTATTCTCATTATTTTGTTGCTAAAGAAACTGAGGCAAGGAAGGAATAAGCCATACAAAAAAATCTTCTGCTGAGCAGGAAATAACAGTCAGGCCTTCTGAGTACCAGCTCTGGGTTTCTCCAGGCTTTAATATGAGGCAGGATATTCTGGCTAACATTGCAGCACTTTCGGATAAAACCAATTTAATTTTCTTAAGCCCAAGTAATTTTTTTTCCTAAATTAAGTTAAAACTTAAGTTTAAATTACAAATTGTGTAGAAAAGGAAGGAAATAGTTTTTGTGACTTAACATTTACGAACTAGTAGAGACAGAAGTCTAACATATCCTCTAGAAAAGACTTTGGACACATCACATAAAACTCCTTAATGTATTGATCTCTACACATATTGAATATGTGACTAAATATTCCCGTACTATTGGTCAGTCATGGGTCACAATGACAGCAGAAGATTGCATGATCTCATATACAGAAAGATAGTTCTTTCAAGCTGTCCCCTACTTGAGAAATAAAATCAGCATTGCATTATGAGCACCTCTGTTGAATATCTCCGTGTTGGCCCATACAAATGAGTAGTCAGTGCTGACAGAGATATTTTAAAGCCTGCTTATAGAATTGTTATTATTTTCCTACAATGATAATTTTTGGTAGCATACTGCTAAACAATAAAATTGCAACATTTGGTAAAAATACTTTTTTCACTATTAATTTTATTCTCCTGTGCAGCCAAGAAGGCAAATACTAAAACATAAATTCAAACTACATTTGAAAAAATGCCTTTTTCAGCTTTGAATTATCAGTATGCTTTTACAGTACACATAAACTATAGATTATTTTTCTCTGAGTATTGCAGCTACACATGAAATTACACATTTAAATGAGCTTACAGCACAGGTGCTACAGGAAAAATAATGGTGTTTGCCATTTATCTTTCAAATTAAATAATGTGTTTTTAAATAGTAACTTTTTTCATAATACACTTATGGGAACAACATTTATCTGTCACATTTTAAAAGATGTATTAGTAATAAATGTAAATTACCTTTGGAAAATCAGTAATTAGCTTCATCAAAAAATAAACAATCTGCCACCAAAAAGATAATCTTTAGCATAGTTAAGTATAATAACTGTTATTTGAATAAGTTAACAAATTAGGATAGATTGCTTCTGTAATTCATTCCCCATAGCATGAGAGATGAAGTTAAAGCACCAGGCTTGTGAATGGGGGGAGGGAGCTGAGACTTTAGTGAAACCAAATCCAGTAGCTCGTATTTTCATTTTTTCATATGCCAGAGATACATACCTATATGTATCCTAGGGCGTTACTACTTGGAATAATACAGTATGTAATTTCCATGGAAGCAATGCTGTATGTGTCAGTCAAGAACTAGTGTATCTTCCTAAATGTAAAAAGTGGGATGTAGTGTGAAGGACTGTTACGCTAAAAATATTTGACAACCCTTGGGCAGAAATTAATACTATAACATAACCCTATCAAGTTATTTCATACAGACTCTGCACTACATTTTAATGCACTGGGGGGCATTTATTAATATCTCCATCCTCTATGTCCAATCTCAGTACTTGCACCAACTGCATATTGTCATATCCCAGTCTTCTGAAAAACAGAGCTGGATACCATGTAAGTAACTATGAAGATCTGGAGAGTGAAGGAAAGTTTACAGAGTATTTTGAGATTCTCAGAGGAAGAGTACTAATGAATTGAAAAGACATGTTATTATCTTCATCAGTGAAAGAATGAGAACAAGGATAAAATCACACTCACTATAGCAAGTATTCTTCCTCAGATTAATATTATTAACATGAGTGAAAAAATAAAACTAATAAAACAGTAATTTAGGAAAAGTTTATGTTTACATAATTAACACTTATCAACCTCAGACTTCTGTCATCAACTCAATTTCTAAATAGAGGCTTCCATATACATATAATCTTTTAAATGTAATTCTAGAATACGTTGTCTTATCTATGTGTTTAGTAATTCCCAGTTGATTTCCATTGCTTCTCCAGTTGTTTGGATGTGTCTATGTATTAATTAACTTAACTGGCAATCAACAGGTCAGGATAGCTCATGTCAAAGCCATTCAAGAAGCATCCTCTTTGCTATGATGATTCCAAGAAAATGCATTATTCAAATATATACGTGTCAAAAGACATAGTGGCAAGTTGTAGAATATTGCTGTCATAACCTAAAGACATTGCTAGACATACTGATATCTTTGTGAATGTGTGAATGCTGGGTAAACCACCAATATGTGCAAAAGAAGACTCAAGCGTAGTAATATAATATAGCAAAATCAGGAAATGCAGAAGTTAGATACCTAATAGCAACAGAGCAATCTATTTTGTATAAATAGACCCAGATCCTCTGATACAGCTACATAGTTTGCAGTGCAAGAATATTAGTCATTTTCATGCGCTGTGATGAATATCCTTTTCTCCTAGCAACATCATGGAATCATAGACTAACTTAAGTTGAAGGAATCTTGAACGTCATTTGGTCCAACCTCCTGCTCAAAGGAAGGCTATCTTGAAAGGTAGACAGGATTATTCAAGGCCATGTCTACTGAATTTTGAAAATCTCCAAGGATGGAGATTCCAGAACTTCATGGGGAAACCTGGTTCTGTGCTTAGTGCAGTGTCTTACTAGAAATTCCCTTGCTACAGTTTCTGGCAAGCAGCAGCATTTGAAATTGGGAGTGGCACTTGGAGTTACCATGCTGGCTCTGGTCTACTGGAGGAGTGTTTCCAAAGACTAATGGCCTGTTCATACAGCTGTGCTGGCTTTTGGGTTACCAAACTGACCTAAAAGCAGAAGTGCTACACACTAGGATCTGATCCAGAAGTTGTTTTGTAGATCTTTTGTGCAGTTATTGTTAGACATTTATGTGAAGTCAGAAACTTCAGATCTGAAACACTTTCAAACTTTGGAAGAGATCAGAGCCACTTTTTCATCTTATGTTCCACCATCATACTTAAGCTTCAAAATGCTTACCACAAAATAGAACTGAAGCTTTCAGTACTGCTATCAGTTTCCATCTGCTTAGATGTTCAGGTCTTTATTCTACACGACCCTCACATTATACTCTTTAATGGTGTTACAAAGGTTTCTTATTTTGGTAACCTCAGCTTTTGGCCTAACACTGTGTTGTAATGATTTTGTTTTCAATAATGGCTTACTGAACTTAAATCATATTAAACTGACATCAAGATATGACTTCTTATCTCTCTACTTATTTTCCAGTCTGCTTAGCCATTCTTCATTGCTTGTCTGGAAACATTGTAGAACTCCAACTCAACAGTCACACAAAGTTATTGTTAAACCAGAAGTTTATCTTCATCAAGTGCTTTTGTACACCTCATAAGGCCATCTGACTGCAGAGAAAGGGATCAATGAGTAGAGCTGGTTTCTGGTTCCACAGCTCAGTTGAAGAGGGAAGAGGAGACTGATACAGAAATATAAATATTGAAGAATTCCCAGCTTCTGCAAGATAGCAGATTTGTCACAGAAGAGAGCAGTTCCAGTCAGTGGAAAGCCAAAGGGCAAGATACATTAGTATTCACTGCATTTGTTGATCAGTGGCATGTAAATTGGGATTATAGTGTGATCAAAACTAATGATAGAACACTATCAATGATTCCATGCACATAAAACAGTAGCCCTGGATAGATGGTGATTTATCTCCTCTCATTGCACAAAAATGTAAAAAAAGGAAAAAAAAAAAAAGAAAAAAAAAGAAAGAAAGGAAGGGGAAAAAAAAAGAATGAGCAACCTATAGAGTATGGAGTACATACCTGTTCTTAGGATAATGTAAGTGCCTGGAGAGAGTTACATTCTATCTGTGCATATTTATATGTCTTTCCTTATGAAGATTCAGGAGATTTTCTTCACAAGTAAGAGTTTTGCTGTTCTGTTGAAAAACATCCTTTTTCACTGAATGGTCAGGCTTTAACTGAAACTCTATAGCTGAAGCCTCTTCAGAAACAGCAACACATCCTTTGGGCTCTTCAGTTCCACTTGATTTTTCTGTACTACTCTTTCTAGTGCTAAGCTCTGGAGAATTCTTTTCCACACCTTCAGTTTGTCCATCTGAAATCAGCAAGTCATCATCACCATTTTTCAAATTGTTTGATGCGTTTGGTTTGTTAAGATTTGGGATGTTTGTATCATTGTCATCATCACATAAGAAAGATAAATCCCTACCTTCAGATGAAGTTTTAACTTCTTCAAATAATTCTAGAGTCACTTCACATAATGACTCTGGAGATGTTGCAAGAATAGGGCTAGCAATAAGTTGATGCTGCTCAACTCCTGCTTCAGGAGTACCATTGGAAAATCTCTTCCTCAGGACAGGCTTCAAAAAAGTATTCAGTATTTTCTCTCTCATCTGTGAAGTCCAGTTGCACAGGAGTGCTGCTCTTTTCCTCTATGTATTTGATTAATTCTCCACAGTCACTATCATGAGACGAAAGTGAAAGATAGGAATAGAAGTCCCCTTTTCTTAGCTGAATGGGTCTGTGAGAATGCTCTAACACTTTTTCCTTGATCTGTGCTAATGAAGCTGGACCAGATGACTCACATTCAGGTTGTGATTTACTTTTCAAAGCTGTTGATGCCATGTCTATTATCTCCCTCACAAAATTGTGTACTGAGCCATCTTCCACATTTCTTTTATTTAAAGCAGCAGATTCACAGTGACAATACAAATCAGAACCATTGGCTGAGTTGTTGCATTCCACTTCACTGGATTTCAAGGCTGTACAGCAATCAGTAGATTTTTCAGTAATGATTATTCTATATTGTTGATCATTAGGTAAGGTTGATTGTAAAGTTGTATCTTGTATGTCTACACATTTAATTTCTGAGGAAAATTCTAGACAAGGCTTTTTAGCAGGAGAGGAAGTAACAGAGTGACAATCAGGCTGAAGATGACTTTGACATTCTTTTGGAGGGTTTCTGTATCCATCTGATGACAGAACAGTCTCCTTGACACTCATATGTGAATTGTCTGAAGTGTCTGCAAATGCTTCACAGACACAACATTCATTTTCAGCTTCTTTAACATCAAGTGATGCAAGAGTTTTGGGACTTGCTGATGTTCTAACAAGACCTTCCTTTTGACTGCCAAGAGTGTTTTCAACATTGCCATTCTCCATATCATCCACAAGCTGATCCTTCACAACCTGAGAGATATCTTTCATCAGATGACTCTTTGTCCCTTTTTCACGATCACATGATACATTCTTACTATTGCCATTATTTTCTGATGTTTTCTCTACTGAACCATTCAAAAGTGTTTCAATGCTCAATGTATCTGTGGCTTTCGATGTGTCATTGCTAACTTCTTTACTGCGCTGAATTTCATCACTGAGGTTACTTTTTCTCTTCTCCCTTGTCAAAGAAAATTTCGGTCTAATCCAAGTTTGGAGTTCATTTTTTATATAATCAAGTCCTGAAATTAAATTGCATTCTTCATAAATATCTTCATCAGTTGCTATACTGGAGTCATCATCTTCATCTTTGATACCTAGCTCTTCCTCAGTTAAGGTAAGGGTGGAACTTGAAAGCAAATCACTGTCATCTTCATCATCAGTACAAGCAGAAGTGCAGGAGACATTAACAATCATGCTGACATTGACATCACTCTCATCAGCTACTGATCTATTAAGATGTTTTCTAAATGATGCATTTGAATCTGGTATTTTATTTCTGTGCAGTACATTGTCTTCAGAGCAGAGGGAAAGATCTTCACTGCTGCTGAGTTCAGTAAGAGAAGCTGCTGAGTCTTCGTTGACTGAGGATGCAATATCTAGAGACAGCTGTCCCATAAAAGACATTTTTTGAGAGTTACTTTGGAGTGTTATATCAGACATGCTGCGCTTTATCTTTTGATCTAAAGGACTCTGGATATTCTCTAAGCGATTCAAAAGATCTAATGTCCTTTTGCTGAGCTCTCCAACAGAATCACTGCTTGCACTTATGTCTCCTGATCCATGGTGACTAAAAAGATCTTCATTGCTTTTGTGGGAAGTCAGCCAGCTCTCCAAAGAGGTGCTTCGCTGAAGACCATCTGCACTTTTAAAAGTACCTGAGCTGAACAAATCACCTACTACAGACAGGGATTCTAATGAAGAACTATGAGATAAAGTTGGAACCTGTCTTGTATTTTCTGTAACAGTTAATTTTCTTACAGTTTCTGCAGATTTACAGGAATTGAAATCTGATTCTCCAGGGATACTTGCAAGAGTATGGTCATGAATAAACCCATCTGGTTGTGTCTCTCCAGGCTTATGTTCAGATTTACCAGGTATTTTATCAAAACAAAAGTCATGAAACAGACTGCCCTCTGTATGTGCTTTTTCAATTTGCGACTGTTTCATTATCACTGGTAATTTGAATTTGGAGCCTTGAAGATAAGAATAATCATAAAAAGTAAACACATCATGTTTTTCTTGCAATTCATCTAGATAAACAGGGTTACACATGGTAATGCTGTCCAAATCCTCATCATTTTCACTTCCACAACATGCAGAAGGTGCCAACTGGAAATCATCTGAGAGACTAGCATGGTCTTCTTCATCTTGCTTAATTTTTTGTTTTATTACATTGACTATATCATCCACTTGAGTTTCTGCATGCTCAATTTCAGGATTACTCTGAATGCTCTCAACTTCATTTAGCAAAAAGAATTCTGAATTATTTGTAGTTTCCATATCGCATTCACTCACTATCCCACTCTCACTCTCAGAACGCCTGCTTATGTTTCCACTCTGATACATACAGTTACATGGTTTTGCCAATGTGGTCCCCCCTATTAGATCTGGCAGGGATTTGGTAGATGAAAATGATGAGTCTTTACTAAGACTTTTGTTTAAAATGTTAGACTGGGTTACATTGGAGAGTTTGGATGTTTTTTTCAAAAAAGGCATGTGGCTTTTTTCTGATAATTCAATATGATGGAGACTGTAGACATGGTAGATGTGAGGATTTGGAGGGGAAGTAATGCTGGGACAATAGAGAGGACTTCCACAATCACTGGAACTTTTGTCTTCATTCACATTGTTATCAGCACCTTCTCCTGAAGTAGATTTCTGGCTTAGATCATCCTTCTTGAGTTCCTGATCAGGATCATGTAAGTCTTCGTGAATACTGATCAGCTTATTACTTATATCAGTTTCATCCCATTCTAATGCATCTTCACTTGGACCATTTAGATCCATCAAACTGGGATCAATAACGTTCAGAGGCTCCTATAAAATAAAAGTCAAAGATTACAAATATTTACAGCTGTGCTTTAAATATGCTTCCACTCAAAACATGTAAGTAAATTGTGGGAGTAAAGTGCATTTTTCAAACAATGATCACTAACTGGCTTTTAATTTTGTTATGTTTTATGTACCATTAAAATGATCAATTAAAATGATCCCTGTTAAATTTTGCCTGATTTCTTAGTCTTCTTAGGGTTTGGTTTGTTGTTTTGGTTTTTCTTTTTTTGTTTGTTTGTTTGTTTTTTTCTTATTTGATGTCAAAATATAATACAGAAATTTGACTTTTCTTTAATAGAGATTAATTGTTGTTAGTAATTTTATGCGTAACAAATTTTAACCATTCTGCAGAATCACATAGCAGTGTGTTAATAAAAAATATGTGCTTAGCACTATTATGTTGGATATATGAGAATCTATCTTTGCCTGCTTAGATATAAAAGAGTTAAGATATCAAGAATTTATTAAAGGACTTTTGAAATATTTATCACAAACTTCTGTGTTGTCAGCCTTAAAACAACAGATCTAATGCACCAGAAATCACAAGATGATGAATTTTTCCTAGAATTTCTATTTATTCTTTACTTGATAATAACGGCCGTACTAATGACCAGTATGTAAGACTAATGAATGTTAATATCTTCAGCTGTAAGAACAATCAATCAGTCTAATCAAATACTACATGAATTTAAAATACTGTCTGTGTTAACACCTTTCTCTGGGAAAGGGCTGATAAATAATTGAGCTAAACTTAGTTTGCTTTTTTTTAGGCTTTAGTAACTTTCCAGTGGTATTGCTGTTATGACTCAGAATATATAGTATCAAGATTTGTTCCTTCTAGAAACACATGTGGCAAAGGAAGAACACCTGAACAAATTTTCTCACTCAAATGTGATGTGTCAAGTAGCACACAGTACCAACTCACCTTAAACCCTTCAATATAATCAGAAGTGGTTCCTGATTTTGGGGCTGGTTCTCTAAGCAGAAATGAATTTTACTTTATTTTTCTATTTATTGAGAGGTGTCCTTTTGGGGAAGACTTTGCTTGTACAATAATTCTTGTAATAGAACTGTTAGCTAATGTAGAATTGTTCAGTTTAAATGAACAGTTATCACTGTATCCAGAAAAAGAGGCAATTTAAAATAATAAAAAACCCAACACTTTCCACTATGATCTTTCGCTCTCTTGAGCTTTTTTGGACCAAGTTTTGTTTTTAAAATACACCACTGATCACATGCCAAACAGCAATCTAAATCACAACAAACTTACAAAGTTACAGAAATACAAACAGATAAAATGAAGCTGTAGGCCAACTAAGTGCAGTTGTACACAACTTAGTTACTGATTTAGATTCATCAAAACTCAGCCAAGGTTAATTGTGCAGGGGAAGGCACATATCTGGCCACAATTCTCAGCTGGCATCTCTCTTTTTGAAGTAGGAACTAAAGCTGCTCAGCACTTTTGTGAGAAATTATGGGATGTTTTCCAACAGCTCAATAGTTAGGGTACTGATTTGGGGCATGGGACACTATCAGCCTGAACATGAACCAGTTTCCCATTCTCTCAAGAGAAGCCCTACCTACATGCTGTTCTGAAAAGAAGCCTGCTTCTCCTGTTTCATTTTGCATAAAACAATTAAATATTAATTGGGTCATAGATAGATGGGGAGAATTTTATCATGCAGAGCAGTGTTCAGCACATTTGACTGGAAAGAGACACAGATAGGTCCAAAGCCCTTCTCTAGTGTCTAATTATGGATATAAGTGGCACTGTTTCTCTGCAAGATGGAAAGCTATCCCATCCCAGTATGTCCAGTAGGCCAATGGCTAAAACACTCAACTGACAACTGCAGCTATCAGCTATCAGTTCTATACATTGTGGAGTTCAGAAATCCATTTGGATTTTCCAGTTTGCCATGTTTTCAAAATGGTTCCTGGTTGGTACTTTGGACCCAGTTTCCCACCTGTAGCTGACCCTTAACCAACCTGCAAGTAAAAACTGGTGCAAAAGAATGACAATAATTAAATTAAGTTAGTTTGGAAAACTATTATATTAAACAAAAATCTGCTACAATTACTCATTTTCTCTGTGACATGTTTTACGACTCTGTCGTACTTAATATTAGGAAGACATTGTTGTGAAAAGCTTCCTAAACTGCACAATTTTACTGTTTTAAGCGTCTGCCAGCTGCAAAAAGATGTTCTTGAAGGCAAGAAATCAGCAGCAGGTTCTAAGGTTTTTATGTTCCATAGAATCTGATTATGTTTCTCAAAACCAAAGCATGTGGTCTTTATTGGTCAGGAAGATAACCTTTGCCCTGTAGATCAGCACTTGGCTGCCTTGTTTGTTCTGCAGGTCAGATGGACTAAAACAATAAAACATGTAAAGTTGTGACCTCAGCCCATTCATCTTCACTGAAGGCTCCTTACTTCAAAGCCTATTTTTTTATCCTTCAAATGCACATGCTTTTCTGAGGCCTGGTATATACTCAGAAGTTATGCAGGCATAGCTATGATAGTAAGGGATTTGATTTTTTTTTTCCCTTTTGATTGTCACAGCTCTAATTCCGAAGGCTCTTATTCAGATTAGGTCATTTTACCAGCATAGCTTTCTCTCTCCAAGGAACTGACTGAATTGGTGTCAGTGAATTACTACTTTTCTTATAAGCAACATGTCCCTTGAAGTACAACTGTAGTGGTTATCAGATACATGGGCAGCCCTTCCCAAGCACAAAACAAGCTTTAACTTCAAAACAAACTACTCAGTTCAAGCCAAAAACATTTTGTATTTGGAATTTTTAGCAGGGGAATGTATTTTTCCTTTCTGTTTTTATAAAATTTAGCAAGCTGCTCAAACAAGAAAAAGACTTTAGACACTGAGGTAGTTGGAGAGAGCAGCACCATATAGACTCTTGAATAAATCTCTGGTGTGAAGAATGGAAGGTGGTGCCATTCCAGCCTATGTGTGCACCGACAGCAGTAGCAAGGTAAAAACCAAGAATCTCTGAGGACTACTTTTAATCATGTCAGATGTCTCCTCATCAGGCTGCTCAATGCATAGCTAGGGTGCTGGAGGATTAGAATTATCATGATAGTAAAGATTAGGCCATGCCAACAGAACATTTAAAATTCCCCAAATTGACCCTCTGCCTGGAGTTATACAAAGGATGGGACGTACAAACGGTGCCAGGTAGTGTCAGAGCCAAATTCTGATTGCTCAATTTACTGGGAAAAAAAGGTGTTGTTTCTTCACAGAATCACATAGAATCGCAGAATCACTTAGGTTGGAAAATACCTAGAAGATCATCTAGTCCAACCATCAACTCAACACTACCATACCCATTAGACCATGTCCTCAAGTGCCACATCTACACGTTCCTTGAACACCTCCAGGGATGGTGACTCCACCAACCACTTCGCTGGGCAGCCTGTTCCAATGCCTGACCAGTCTTTCAGTAACGAATTTTTTCCTACTATCTAATCTAAACCTCCCCTGATGCAACTTGTAATTTCCTCTTGTACTGTCACTAGTTACCCAGGAGAATACACCAGCATCCGCCTCACTACAACCTCCTTTCAGATAGGTGTAGAGAGCGGTCAGGTCTCCCCTCAGTCTCCTCTTATTTAAGCTAAACAACCCAAGTGCCCTCAGCCGCTCCTCATAAGACTTGTTCTCCAGACCCTTTCCCAGCTTTGTCGCCCTTCTCTGGACAGGGTCTAGCATCTCTATGTCCTTCTTGTAGTAAGAGGTCCAAAACTGAACACAGTACTCAAGGTGCGGCCTCACCAGTGCCGAGTACAGGGACACAATCCCTTCCCCACTTCTGCTGACCACACTATTCCTGATACAGGCCAGGATGTTGTTGGCCTTCCTGGCCACCTGGGCACACTGCTGACTTATATTCAGCTGGCCTTCAACCAACATCCCCAGGTCCTTTTCCACCTGACAGCTTTCCAGCCACTCTTCCCCAAGCCTCTAGTGCTGCCTGGGGTTGTTATGACATAAATGAAGGACCTGGCACTTGGCCCTGTTAAACCTCATACAATTGACCTCAGCCCATCGATCTAGCCTGTCCAGGTCCCTCTGCAGGGCTCTCCTACCCTCAAGCAGATCAACACTTCCACCCAACTTAGTGTCATCTGCAAACTTACTGAGGAAGCACTCAATCCGTCCAGATCACTGATAAATATGTTAAACAAGACCGGCCCCAAAACTGAGCCCTGGGGGACACCACTTGTGACCAGCCACCAACCAGACTTAACTCTGAATACCACAAGTCTCTGTGCTCTGCCCTTCAGCTACATTTTTACCCAGCAAAGAGTGCACCTGTCTAAACCATGAGCTGCCAGCTTCTTCAGGAGAATGCTGTGGGAGACCATGTCAAAGGCTTTACTAAAGCCTTTACTTCTCTTGTCTGTCTTGATTTTGATTCCAAAGAACCGTATAGTATTGCACAATGCATCTTTTATACAAAGCAGACAAACCTCTATTGGGAAAACTTTACTAGTATGAGAGCTGCACCATGTTTTTTATCCCATTTCAGTTAATGATGAATGTGGCTTTCCTAAACAATTTGCATTTACACACTCCAAAGGATGTTCTAGCTAGCCTCATTCGAAGTACCAATCCTTGAACCACTAATACCCAAGAAGTCTGTGTCTGTCACAGAAAGGCATACTGATCTCCACATGTAAGACAGACTACAATTAAAGAGAAGCTTTGAGTGTGCTACAGAGCTTCAGATTCCAGTGGGGTGAGCCCTGTACACTCTTAAGTCCTGGCCTTGCTGAAGTCTGTGAGAAAACATTCTGCAAAGGTACCATTCTGTCTGGCAAAATGAGTTTTCTTTGGATACCACCTGATGTAACTGATCGCACTAAATTTCCCAGAATTTAGAAACTTGGTTTTCATATGTGCAAGAATGTGTATAAAGATACACATGCCTATATACACGTGTGTTTGTGTGTGTCTGTGCTGGGTTCAG